AACCGTTGGAGGCATACTCTTTTGTCGAAAGACCCGGGCGTTCCGTTCGTTCCAAATGGTCCATCCCAATAGCATGGCGAGGGAGGCCATGGCTTTCCGGTTGGGGGTGCTCTTGCTTGATCTATTTACCCACCATTCCTTTAAAGAGTCCTCAAGGTGCCAAGTAGATGTGTCAAGATCTTTTAAATGTACCTACTCATTGACCAAATTCCATAGGCGAAGGGTGAATCGACATTTGACGAAAAGGTGTAGGCCAGATTCTTGTTCTCTTTTGCATAGGGGGCAGAGTTGAAAGTTTGGCCATCCACGCCGGACCAACCTATTGGCTGTCTAGGTTCGATCTTGTATGGCCAGCCAAGCAAACAATTTCACCTTGGGCGGTGCCCAAGCCTTCCAAACCGTGTGATCCATAGGAGAGTGGACCATTCCAAGAAATTGCACGGAGTAAGCCGCCGTCGTGGAGTATTGGCCATTAGTGGCATGCTTCCAAGTAATCTCATCCTCCGTGTGCTCCTCAAGTGAGAATTCCGAGATCAGAAGCCAAGGATTAACAAATTGACGAATGTGTGTCATAAAGAAGTTGGCGGTCATCTTGATTTTGTTGATCCAGGATCCCCTGTTGAGAGCTTCTCTCACATTTCAGTTTTTTCTTGTGGAAGCCTCATGGATGAGAGGCTCAATATAAATAGGTCTCCTACCATGCACCCAAGGCGCCTCCCAAAAAGGGGTCTTGGCCCTGTTCCCAATAGTGATAGAACTGGAGGCATAGAAGAAATCCCGGTTCTTTTCATCGCAAGGGTTGCCCATGCCAACCCACATCTTGGAGGGTGCGCACAAATTTGACAGTGTTGAGCACACCGAGGCCTGCACGGTCGTATGGGCGGCATACGAGGTCCCAGTTTACTTTGCATTTTTCCCCTGTGGTCTTGTCAGAACCTACCAAAAGAAAGGCACGCTGGAGCTTGTTGGTGTTGTGGAGAGTGCTCGGCGGAACAATGAGCGATGTGATGAAGTATACCAATAATGAGGAGAGCATGGAAAAAGATATTGAAGGCGACTCGTTCTCTTCCCCAACGGCACGAGAGGCAAACGAGGAAGAGAAACCATTCCCCCCTCCCTCCGCCGGCGAAGCCGCTGGTCCCTGCCTCCATCTGTCACTCCGCCGGTGGCTACGGGTGGGGACCTCGGCGCCATGTTGTTTCACTGTCGACTGGTTTGCTCTAGCGGGAACAAATGGTCCATCACAGTGGTCATTTGGCTTGTAATTCATGAATCTTCATACATGATAGCTAATTTTTTAGAACACTTTTTGAGACAATTGTCGTATTACAAGTTTATCATTTTTCCCAGCAGCTAGGCCACATATAATTACATAATGCGAAGGTTTTTTTGTTTTGATTTTTTTGAATTTGTTATGTCGGTTTCAAAATGCAGTCAAAAAATGCCAGAATAACTGTTCATACTTAGGGATTGAATCTTGCAAAACTCTTGGTATATCTATGATGAAATAGATATTTGTGTACCTAAAAATATTTTTTTAAATAACAAGTAAACTATAAGGGAGTTGTAGTTCAAATTTTCATAAAAATGACTTAATTATTTTTTTGTACATAATATGTGCTAAGTTTTCTACCTCCACATCTCCTCCCGCCACACCTAAAATCTTTTTCGCTGCTGGCGAAAATTTTCCCGCTCCACATATGAGGGTATTTTTGTCACCAGAGAACACCGCCACACGCCCGCACCGCACGATATGAGGGTATTTTCGTCAAACTAATTCAGCCGCACCACACCATACCGCTGCTCCCGTCCCCCAAATCCCCAAATTCCCTCGAACCCTAGCCGCCCCTGCCCTCCCCACGAACCCTAGCCGCCCCTGCCCTCCCCTCGAGCGCGAGCCGCGGCCGATCTAGACACCGGCGGGGCGCCGCGAGCAGCGGCCGGTCCAGCCACCGGCGTGCGGCGAAAGCAGCGGCCGGTCTAGCCACCGGAGGGGCGACGGGAGCAACGGCGTGACCTTGACCTCTCCAGGTACGGGCCTCTGGCGCCTGTGCTTCCCCGCTCCGGCTCGCCCAACCCAGCAGCACACTCCACCACCACATCTCTCTCTCTCTCTCTCTGCACCATCACACTCCACCGTTTCTCACTGTATTTGTTATGTCATGGTGAAGGTTGCAGAGGTGGAAAGGAAGCAGAAGAGGGTGCCGTTCGACCAACCTCTCAGGACAAGCTGCTCACGGAGGTGCCCAAGTACAAGCGGACTATGTTCTCTGTCCTCCCCTAGGTAACTTCATGTTCATCCCACATCCAAGTAGGTGGTCCATTTTAACTAAATCCGATTCAGTTTCTGGACAACTAAGTCTACTTTTACTGAAGAAAAGTGGCGTTGCGGGAGTCTAGATAGCTCTGCAATAGTAGACTCATGATATTACGTGACCACGCAGCTCTAGTTCTGCCAGTCCCCATTGAAAATTCCAAATCAACATCAGTTCTGCACTGGCTGTTAATTTAAATATTTAATCCTATTGCTACACTTAATTTCTGCAAATTTAACGAACTGAACATTTGAACTGCAAATGTATTTTGTTTTGCACTTGCTCTCAACTGAATACTTGTATATTATACAAAGACATGATACATAAGCAATCTTTATAAATAGCTAAAAATGTGTAGCCTACAGCTTGTGTGTGACAGTGTGACTGATGTCGATGACAAGTAGTGAAGTGCTTGTGTCTAGATACTATTATATGTGCAACTATTTATCTACCTTTCAAAGCATCTGCCCACTTTATATTTTTAACTTGTAACTGCTATGCTGCTCCCTAGGCCATTAACTCGTCCAGCAAGCAAGGCAAGTAAACCAGGCAACAACCAAGCTGACTAGCACAGTTCCAATTCCCGTGAGATCCACTATGACAAAGATGACAACGAGCCAGAAACTCGCAGGTATACAACTTGTTTGTTGAGTGTGCTGTTTGGTTTTCTATGGACGTGAATTGTGCTTTGCATAGTTTCGTGCCTAGCTAATGTTTTTAACCTAGTAACTGAAATTTACGTCTTCTAGGATTGCAAAACAAAATAAAATAGTTCGCTCCTGATATGTACTCTGTATAAACAAAAATAGTTCGCTCCTGATTTGTATTTGTATTCTAGGATTGCTAAGAAACTCGCAGCTCAGTTGTTTGTGTTGTCTTGCTTCTCCTATGCATTTCAACCATTCAATCTTACAATTATATTTTTTGTTCATGTAAAGAAGCGCCAACTGCTGAATACGAGAAGATTAGGGCTAAAAATTTGATGAGGAACAACCGCATATTCCAATCACTTGGCATTGCTGCATTAGGTATGATGGTTAGGAACTCAAATCGAATGCAGCAAAGTAGTGTCATCACTGATGGGGACTCAGCTTCTGCCATAACACAACAAGGCTCAAGCTCTGAGTAGAGTCCTGACGATGAGGTCATTGAGGAGGATGAAGTTGATGATATTGTAGTGGAGAAGGAAGATAAGGTGCTAATTCTACTTTTGTTTTTGAGGGATGGGGGCTATTTGTATGCTATATGTGCTTCAGTGCTTTGACTAATTCTGGAAATACATTTTTTGCATGAGATCTAATAGTTGTCTCTCTTTTATTATAATGCTTTGAAGGTTCCTAAGAAGGCAAGGAAGTCGATCAATAAAAAGACATGATGTCTGAAGATAGATATGTTGTCTTTATCTCTACCTTCCTTTACTAAACATCAGTTGTGCTACTTGGAGAGATGATGATAACATTGATTTGCATGTTATTATGGCTGCATACCCTTTTGAACTGCAACTTGGATTGCAATCTTTAGGGGCCTTTGTGGTTGCTCCATTAATTCTCATACATCTTTTTCCATGGTAGGAAACCTGTCAGTCGAACAAGGAGAACCGTTTCGAAGTTAAGTTCCATCAGAAAACTGGTTCTCGCCCCTACATTTCCCATGTGCAAACTTTGGTAAGGATCTCTCATGTTTTCATTTGCTACTACAGTGATTATTTCAATTGTTTCTTATTGTTCCATTGTGTCGTGAACAATTTCAGAAAGAGGCTCGTAAGGGTGAAGAGTTGACTTTGTTTGATCTATTCAAGGAGTGCCACAATGGCAAGAAGACTGGTTTCTCTGAGCCAGTTAAGAAGGCGATAGTAAGTTTCTACTATTCTTTTCTGTGTTGATGAGGCTTGTTTACCTCATCCTTGTTAGACTTGATTACATTATATGACTTCTGCTCGACAGATTTGATAGAGATGGGTTGTTCAAAGTAGTACAGTATATGATTCATGTTTTGTTATAGTTTGTTTGTCCCAATCCTCTGTTTCATTGCATTGCATATTCATTTTGGTACTGGAAATGCGACAATATTCAGGCAATTTTAGTTCTTGTTGCAGTCCAGCAGGTACTGCTTTGTCGTTTAACACTAGTAATTAAGAGAGAGTGTTGTATGCTCTTTGATTATTTTTCTAGTGATTGCCTGAAGCATCTATCTTCCTTGCTTTCGAAGTGGAGAAACTCTGTCATTTCATATATGATCTGAATGAAATGTTTAGGACTTGTGGAAGTGGATTCTCTAATACTGTATACTGTACTAAAGAAACAACATATGCGCTCCTGAAATGTACTACATTCTTCTCCGCTCCATGTTCCCATTTAAGCTAAACAAAGGTGCACTTAGTTTCCTAATTTAAATTTCAACAATGGTTTGTTGTGTATGCTTACCTGTTTAATAAACCTGGTGCCATGCTTCTTTCATGTAGTTGATAGTAACTTGCAAAAAAAGTGATTCCCAAGAATGATTAATTCTGCTTGTTTGCTTCAAAGTTTTCAAATAACTACTAGTTAATTAGTAGCATGGAGACTGGATTATTATTTAGTCAACATTCTTGAATAGTTTGCTTATAAAGTTTCCTAGTCATTCAGAACCAACTGCAATGACATGTGTACATCTTTCTTTAAATGTCAGGCTGACATGTAAAAAGCTATGGAACAAGGGGTACCAGAAGGTGGAGAACCGAAGAATGTTGCTGCTGTTGTTGCTGACATTCTCACTAAAGAATGTCCCTCAAACACATTCCTTCAAAATGTTGGCCTTGATTCGAGCTCCAAGAAGTTCAACAGGTCTGCATCTGCTTTGGATGCTCATGTACAAGAACTAGAGTACAAGCTTGAGAGGGAGAGGCAAGCCGCTGAGTTGATGCGAGAGGAGCTTGTTGAGGTCAAGAAGAAATCAGAGGAGACCGAAGCTGCACGCGCCGCAGAGTATCAATTGTTACTGCAAAGAGTTGAGGCCACCGATGCGAGGGTTGTAGCAAGTGATGCTAGATTTGCGCGTCTCATGGATCTATTCGAAGGTAAAATAGTTTAGTACGGCATGGTTGATGTTGGCTTTGGGACCTTTGATGTTGAGTTGTTTGGACCTGGGGTTGATGAGTTTTGGTTGACTGGACATGTGAATCACAATATGGACCAGGGATTGGCTGTGGTTTAATGAGGTTCTGTTTTGGTTGGTGCATCTTATGAACATGGTGTACTGATACTAAGCTACTGGCTATGTTATTTTGGTTGGTGCATCTTATAAATCTGTGGCGTAATGATACTGTTGGGCCTAAGTTAATGAAATCTAGGAGAATTATATTTATCATTCTATTCTCCTGTATTGGTTGACTGCCAAATTGTGCAATGATTTTTTTCTTTTTGAGCTACTGTTGGCTATTGGCTGGACAGCGAAAAATACTAAATTGTATGAGTGGGCTTGCTCGTCTCAAGGCCCAATATAGTTTTTTTGATAGAAAAAGATTCATATATTTTTGTTGGTTAGAGAGAAGGGTTGGCATTGAATAAATGGACTGCACATTGCCTGAGCCCAAGAACTAACATTAACAGGCCGTGGCCCAAAAGTAAATGTAAAAATGGGCTAAATTATTGGGCCCAGCCCATTAAAACAACTGATTTGGACTAATCCTACATGGCATCCATGTCATCATTTTTTCCACGTCAGCGCCACGCTGGTTCAGCCACATCAGATTCTAGGTGGCCTAGGCTCATTAGTAATGACCATAATTTTGGTCAAAGATTTAACGACCAAAATTTTGGTCAAGGGCGGCCATGACCAAAATTTCAGAAAAGGTCACGTTTGTTCGTTCTTGACGGCCAACTGTTGACCTTCCGAATTTGGTCAAAAAAGGTCAATAAACGAAAGCAATGACGAATTAACGACCAAAATGCGGAGTCATAATTGACCGTATTTCCTGTAGTGGCGTCCGACACACCATGGCGACTCGCAAGTCCCTGGCTGATGCTTGGTACTCGCCGGCCCTGGATTCCCCAAATTTGTCGGAGAAGAATCTCGCCCTCGCGCGCCTGATGACGGTGGCGCAGGGCAGCGAGGGGGCGACTGTGCTCAAGGTCGGCTCCGACCAGCCTGAGGGCAAGGGGAGCACCTTCTACCATTCTTCATGAGCGCCATCGTCGCCGGTTTGGTGCCTTCTTTCTCTGAGTTCTTCTTTACCGTTCTCCGCCAATACAATTTGCAGGCCCTGCATCTCCACCCCAACTCTGTCCTTCTCCTGGCGACTTTCGCCTACTATTGCGAGGCTCATGTTGGTGTGAAGCCCTCGGTGGCCTTGCCGCGCCACTTTTTCTCCCTCCGGGTTTCTGGCGCTCAGGTTTCCGCATGCGCGAGCTTCATTGCATACTCCAGCTCCAACGCCATCTCGAAGCCTGGGAAGAGGATCGAAGGCTACCGGAGCAAGTGGGTCATGATGGATGTCGGGCGCCTCCACCCTCGTCTGGTATTGCCCACGGGGCAACCTAAGTCCGTTGACGCATGGTCCCGCGCGGAGCTTGTCGACCCTCACGCGAAGGCGGTGTTGAGGAGGATGAACACGGACCTGAGGCCAAGCAACTTGGGGGCGGCGAAGCTGACCGGGGCCATGCTCCTGAGGGAGTTCTTGGAGCACCGGGTGGCTCTGCTCCAGGAGCACTCACTCCCACTGTGGAGGTTTGGAGGAGCAGACGCCGCCCTGCGCCTGAGCTCCGAGGCCCTGACCGACGAGGATCTGACTGCGTCCCTCCATTCCTTGGTTGGCTGAGACGTGGCGAGCCCGGTGGACACCCCCGTCCCCCTGTTCCTCCGTGACGACTGGGAGCAGGTGGTGGAAGCCATGCCCACCTTCAACGGCGAGGGGCTGGTGCCCGCGGCAGCTCCCGAAGACCTGGCGGTCCTGGCGACGGTGAACTTGTCCTCCGGCAGCTCCAGTGGGGAAGAAGAGGCGGAGGAGGAAGTGTCCGACTCGAAGGAGACTGGAGAGGATTGGAGGGAGTCCTTCCCTCGACGCAGGTCCCAGGCCCTCCGCTCCATGCCGGACGATGACGAGGCCAGCACCAGGCGAGGAAGGGAGGGCTCTTCCTCGGTCACGAGGAAGGGCAGGTCGAGCCTGGTTCCCCCACGGTCTGCTCTGGTCCCTAGGGGGTCCAAGGCCAGCTCCATCTCTCCTGACGCGCCTTTTGCTTCCGGGCCCTCCAAGGCTGACCCCCGCTGCAGGCTCTCGGGCTTCAAGTATGGCCAGAAGTTTCTTGAGTCCACGGACGGCATCCAGTAAGTGCTCGATTCGTGCTCTGCTTGGTTTCTGCCGCTGAGGCTTGACATTTGTGCTCTTTTAGCAGGCCGGCACCTGCGGCCAAGAGGTTGAAGGAGGCTTCTGCGGCCCTGCTTGGGGCGAATCCGTCTGCCGGGGAGACGCCTTCGGCCGTTGGGGGAGAGGACGGCGAGGCCCGCGCCTCTCCGACCCAACCGCCCTCGCGAGGCCAACTGGGGCACCCCGGTGAGGAGTCAGCCCCCGTGGCCCCGCTGGACCTGGAGTCGACTGTGCCCGATGCTGCAAACATGGCGGCCAAGGCTCAGGAGGTCCCTTCCTGCCAAGCCGTGGCCACGCTGCCATCTTCTCCGTCTGCTCCATAGGTTCTAGTCTCTTCTGCTCCCTCCGCTGCTGTCCTGGACCAGGTTGCCAACGAGCTGAGCCAACCGCGGGGGGATCTCCTGAGCGCGGACCCTCGTCTGGTGCCCGGGCGCCTGGAGTTGGCCTCTGGCTAGGCCCGTTTTGCTGCTTCCGTTCGAGCGGTGCTGAGCCAGGCCGTGTCGTCCTCCGATGAGGAGAGTCGGGCCGCCAACCAAGCCAAGGCCGCTCGCGATGCTGCCCTGGGCGACGTCGCAAATGCCTAGGGCCGCTGCAAGACTGTAACACCCCGGATGTAACTTTCCCAATTTGTACTCCAACTCTTGCTGTTTCCGGCGTTAAGTTATTTTATTTTCTCGGGTTCGGGTCTTTGTCTCCGTGTGTTGTGATCGTTGTCATGCATCTCATATCATGTCATCATGTGCATTGCATTTGCATACGTGTTCATCTCATGCATTCGAGCATTTTCCCCGTTGTCCGTTTTGCATTCCGGCGCTTCGTTCTCCTTCGGTGGTCATTTCTAGCTTTCTTTCGTGTGTGGGGATTAAACATTTCCGGATTGGACCGAGACTTGCCAAGTGGCCTTGGTTTACTACCGGTAGACCGCCTGTCAAGTTTCGTATCATTTGGACTTCGTTTGATACTCCAACGGTTAACCGAGAGACCGAGAAGGCCTCGTGTGTGTTGCAGCCCAACACCCTTCCAATTTGGCCCAAAACCCACCTAAACCTACTCCATCATCTAGAGCGTTCAATCACAATCGCATGGCCAAAAACCATACCTCATTTGGACTCTCCTAACTCCCTCTACCTATAAATATAGCCTCCTCCCCAAAAATTTCGGATCAAGTCGACCCTAACCCTAGCTCCCCGCTCCTCTCCGCGCGCCGGACGTGTCCGCCGGTGCCGGACAACGTCCGCCGCCGTCCGCGCCCTCTCAGTGCTCACCACGTGGCGCGCCGCCGCCTCCCATCGCGCCGGCCCGCGGGGCCCGACCGCGGCCCTCCCGGCCCGAGTCTCCACCGCCGCTTCGCCCGCCTCCCCGCCGCCCGAGCGCCGCCCGCGCTGCTCCCGCCGCCACCGCGCGCCATCGCTGCCGCCACCACGCGCCCTCGCCGGCGCTGCCGCATCCGCGCGCTGCCCGAGCTCGTCGCCGGCCGCCGCGGCTCCGCCGCCCTCCGCCGCCGCCTCGCCGTCCCCTCCCTCCTCCGGCCAGATCTGGTCGAGGAGCGCCGGATCCGGCGACCTCGACCTCGCCGGCCGCCGTCTTCGAACTCCGGCGAGCAGCGCCGCCGCCTCGTTTTGCGTGCCCGGGTCAAACCCTAGATCCGGAGGTGTTTTTTTCTAAGTCCTTGTTTCCATAGATCCATATGCTCCTGTTCATGGCCTCGTAACTTTGCATCCGTAGCTCCGTTTTTTGGCATATAGCATATCAAAATGTTCATCTCAGAGAGTACATCATTTCATTCCATTGCATCATTTTCATTTGAGTTCATCTTGATGCCCCAAAGGCTGTTAGAAGAGGGATACTTGAGATATTTGTCAGATCTGCTGCTCCATTTAGCTTTTTGTCATTTTTGCCATGATTATTGTGTGCATGATATGCCCATGAGTTCTACATATGTTTTGTTAAGGGTTTTGCCATCTTTCTAGAGGTGCAACCCATGTATTTTTGTGATGTGTGTGGTGACTAGCACAAGCTTGCCAAGTGAGGCACTTGGTAATTCTAATTTCAGGGACTTAGCAATTCCACTAAGTCCTTGAGCTGTTTATCTCATATGGCCATATGTTCATGTTGTTTCCTAGTGATCCGTGCCTCTTTTGAGGATGATCAGTAAGGATGTTTTGTTAATCTTGTAGTGCTCTTTCCATCCATGTCTTTGTTTACAATTATGGAGCACCCTAGCTTGAGTCAATCGAGCTCTACTTTTGCTACTTTGTGAATCTGAGCAGATTGTCAACTTGTTTGCAATTTTGCCGATGATGTTGTAGTTGATCCGCACATGCTATGCTATTGTTCTTGCCTTGTCTAGCTTGCATTTTGTGTGTTCTTGATGGGTGTAAGCTTAGATTATCATGAATTTCTCCGTAATGAGTGCATCAAGCTCGTAAACATGCCTACTTGATATCTGTTTTCAGCATGCTCCAGTTTTCACTAAGTCTGAGAACTGATTATGTTTTTGCTATGTTCACATGCTTGCAATTGTATTTTCTGATCTCTTTTGGCTCAAGGTCACTAAGGGACTTTTGTTAAGCTCTTTGAGTAGATCCATGCCATGCTTTACTTTGCCATGTTCAGGTCCTGTAGCATATAGTTTTGTTGCTCCGAAGAGTGCTATCTGATCTGAAATTCCAGACAAGTGTTGATTTCACTAAGTCTGAAATCTGTTTGCCATATGCAAACCAACACACACAATAGCCCAAACGGCGGGGTTATGTCCAAGAATATGCATTTTCATTTTATGCTTCCAACTAGCAAAATTAGTACCATCAAATTAAGGACCTCTACGGTGATATTTTCCCTCGCTAGACGCCATACTCTCCTAGGTTGTGAAACCAAGGCTAT